ACTTTATTCCACATCTGCTCCGAAGACTAAGTTTTAAAATAGAAACCAGACCTCCTGTGGCTCTAAAAGAAATTCCTCCCCTGAGCTGCCAATGTCAAGTAAATCATGGGCAAATATGTGTTTGGATCTTCCTGTCAGAGGAGTGAAGTGTATCATGAGGCCTGATTTATTCCTGAGGAGGAGTACTAAAAAACTGCCTGACAGGTAAAATTTGCTGGAGACAATAACACATCTGTATCAAATTGTGATTGCAGGAAAGGCTGTTGTCAACAATCGTTGGAGAACGTGTTGTATTGTTTGGGAGTAAACATTTAATGATGAAATTTGATCCATTCCCATCATCCCTGCACATTTGACTACTGAAATTTCCTGTTATCCCTCTATCACAGGCTGCTGGTGGATGTGAAGGCTCAGAGCAGAGCACGTGGGCAAGGTGTCAAGGCTTCTCCTTCTCAAAGCTGAGGTGGTTTCACACACTGCTCAGGCAAAGTATTTCCTGTTACTGCCTTACCAATGACATGCAAAATATTGAATATCTGGCAGAACAGAAAATAACATAGTTAGTAGCCAAAAATAGAAGGTTTATGTAAAATCAAGACTTGCAGATCCAAGGTAACGGGTTCTATGATTCTGTTCAACCTCCTTTCACTCCTTTCAGCATCTTCAGCAGGAGGAGGGAAACAGCCAGGAATGATCCACCTCCACTTTGGAAATGCCTGTGGCCTGGGCTGTGTGACACATATGTGACAGGAGTTAGAGGGAATTCAACCCAGGCTGAGTCAGGGCTCACAGGGAGGGCCTGGTGGGGGTTAAACCAGTGGTTGTTGTGGCTGGTTCCTTCACCTGAGCCTACCCCGAACACAAGCAGAGATTTAAACACCTCCACAAGGCCCTTCTAGCCCCAGGCTTAAGGGATTTAGTGGCTATTTGCCAACTCTACTCTAAATAAATATTTCAGTGATTATTTTTAACATTTATTTTGTGACATTATGTCCTCTCAGCAAGCTTGAATCATCCTTTAATTATTAAATCACCAAATGACATGTAGTGTCTAACTTTTGGAAAGGTCACATGTTGAAGGAAATCTTTCCTCCAAAACCACAATCAGCTTGAGTGACATGGAAACATCACAGAATCCCAGGCTGGTTGGGGTTGGGAAAGGCCTAAAAGCCCATCTAGTTCCATACCCTGCCATGGGCAGGGGCACCTTCCACTATCCCAGGATGCTCCAAGCCCAGTCCAACCTGCCCTTGGACACTTCCAGGGATGGGGCAGCCACAGCTTCTCTGGACAACCTGTGCCAGGGCCTCACCACCCTCACAGCCAAGAATTTCTTCCCAATATCTGATCTAACTCTAAACCTCATCACTTGCTTCAAAAACTCGATGATCAAACATCTGTCACACCTGAAAAGTGAAACAAACCGTGGAAGACCAACTCTCCAGCTGCCCTGGTGCATCCTAAAACTTTCCAGCACAGCATTCCTTGGATTTCATGGAAAACCCCAAGGCCAGGAGTGTCCTGGGTGATTTATACACCTGCACTTCCCAACACTGGCACCACATCTTCCACATTCCTTATTTAACCAAGGACCTGTCATGTTGTGATGTTGAAATCCAGGCGAGCCCCACCTGTTCCATGTTGTTCAGTGCCTGTGAAATTACAGCAACACAAACGGGGTCTCACAATAGTCACACTGCACCTGATGGAAACACAATGCACTCCTTTAGCTCCGAGAGCTCGAATTATTATTATTAGTGTGTCTTGGAAAGCATCAACAATGTATTAAGTGCTTTAAAGTGATGCTTAAAAACCTGGGAGCCCCGAGCTGCCGAGTAAAGAGCGTGGTATGAACACAGCACACAGGAAGGGATGGGAAGGGATGGAGGAGCAGAAACTCTGTTTAATTACCTGGCTTTGATCTTCCTGCCCTTTGTACCGTTTAGTTTTTCTTCAGGAAACTGATTTTCAGGGCTTGTTGGGAGGAATTGGCTGTCTAGAGCTGGGCCAATTAACCAGTTTTCTGCACATTGATTCATTCTCAGCTGCTCAGTTTCATTACGTTAAAATGATGGCTGATGTATTTCTCATTTACTGGGTTATTATCAATTCCTTACCCTCGTTTGAAGGCCAAATGTACTGTGATAGAAACAGGAATCCAATAAAAGTGTTCACAAGCTATTGGGAAACAGGGGAGCAGACACTGAAACAGAGCTTTGGATAAGAAATGTGGAAAAAGAAGAGCAGCACAACAAAAATCTAGGGTAAAGCTTGAACAGCAGACTGTGTCTGGCCACAGTGTCCCTCCACACTGAGGGACTCCAGGTCCCCACCTTGTCCACTTAGGCCTTGCTTTAGTCATAAATTACAAGGTTTTGGTTATTTTTTCAGTTCCTTGTTGGCTTTTCAGCTTTCAATAGAAGCTGTGGCTGCCTCATCTCTGGAAGTGTCCAAGGCCAGGTTGGACAGGGCTTGGAGCAACCTGGTCTAGTAGAAGGTGTCCCTGCCCAAGGCAAGGGGTGGGGCAAGATTAAGGTCCCTCTCAACCCAAACTATTCCAAGATTCTATGAATATTTCTGGTTTGGAAATAAATTGAACAAATAGAGATTACAGAACCACTCTCTCGGCACACATGGGGAAACACATCAAAATCACCAAGTATGCCCGGCCAGAGCCCTCCTGGGCAACTCCCCCAGCAGAAAACAAACACCACTAAATATTCTTCTTATTATATTGTGGTAACTTTTATAATATTTAAACCTGAAATTATTGCTGGGTGAAAGGCAGCTTTGGCTGTGCTTGGTTTTAAACAAGGTCTGTTCTGGTTCATTTCTCAGACTTGATGGTCTTCAAGGTCTTTTCCAACCTTAAAAATTCTATGACTCCATGATTCTATGATTCCTTGATTCTATGATTCCACAATTCTATAATTCCAGGATTCTGTCATTCCACAAGTCTATGATTCTATGATTCCATGATTTCAAGCACACCAAAGTTCAATTCAACTCTCAGTAAAAGTCAGCAGGTCCCAGTTTTTCCTCCAACATTTCAGCTTTTTTGCTATACAGAAGAACATCACAGAAGCAGCCCTTCCATCACTCATTAATTGACTCTCTAAGACCAGACAGTTATGTGTCCCTGATATTACACTTTATGACAGATATTCCCGTTTTTGTGACAGGCTCTTCCCTGAAGGCACAAAAGAATGAATTAACTCTCAGGGCCAATGTCAGAACTGTTCCCTCCCTCCAGTCCTCCTGACATCAGCAGAGCCTCCCCCAGGAAACCACAGGAGCAGCTGGGTGGTGCCTGTTTGTCAGGAACGGGCTGGGAATACTGGGAAAATCCTGATCAGAGACACGTCCTGCATGGTCCTGGTGCATCCCAACAGCTCCATGTCCTGTGCCATCTACAGCCCAAAACAATCTTGTGCTCAGTTCCCAGTGCCAGCCACACATGGGCACACTGAGGATATTTTTTATTAGACTTACCAATACATGGATTTAAAACATCTCCCCTGAATTCCATGGAAAAGCATGGAAAATGCACATTCCTCAAGTGCCACCTGCTGTACTGACTGAAGCAGGACATGGCAGCAGTGAACTCTTCCAGGATTTCATAGCCTTGTTCCAAACTCCAGCACTTCTCCGGCAGCAGGGAAGCACAGGTTCTGTCCTTCCTGACTATTATGGACATTCCCTAAGTGGGAATTTGTTCACAGCCCCTGTGGCACAGCAGATGCCCCAGCACATTTTTCCACACTGGTTTATACTTCTATAAATAACCAGCAATAACACTGTCACCTTGCCTCATGATGTGATAAAAACCAGCTCCATACCCAGAATCCAGGTAATTTTTCCATAGGATGTGGCTACAAGAAGGAGAGAGAATAAAAACTGCCAGGAAAGTAGCATTTGCTATAAATGAACATTTTGCATGGATGTAATTAGGTAATGTTGGTCCACCGGAACACAGCAGATTTTAGCAGGTCATTCCCAGTCCAAAAAAAAGCAGGGAAGAGGGATCAGAGGTGATTTGGAAGGAGCTGCCAAGAGAGCACAGTGCCCACTCCAGGCACACACAGGGAACAAGGAATGGTGTCCCACCACTGACACAAACCCACCACCAAACCATGGGATGGGTCAAAATAAAATAATATTTATTTAAATAATGAATTTCCTTGGACACTCTATCATCAATAGTCATCCCAGTGTGTCATACAAATATTGGGAAAGCTTCTTCCCCAGAGGGTGGTTGGGCACTGAACAGGCTCCCCAGGGCAGTGGTCACAGCACCAAGGCTGCCAGAGCTCAGGGAGTGTTTGGATGATCCTCTGGGGCACCTGGTGTGACTCTTGGGGATGGGCCTGTGCAGGGCTGAGGGTGGGAGTCATTGATCCTTGTGGGTCCCTTTCACCTCAGGATGTTCCATGATTCTGTGATATTTGGAATGCTCTGTCTGTTCCCATGGGGATTTCACTGGGGCCACCACAGAGGGAAATCAGCCCCAACCTCATGTGTTCTCTGGGGGAAGAACTTTTTTCTAAAATCCAGCCTAACCCTGCCCTGACACAACATCAGGCCATTCCCTGGGGTCCTGTCCCTGGTCCCCACAGAGCAGAGATCAGTGCCTGCCCCTCCTCTCCCCCCCCCAGGAAGCTGTAACTGCAGTGAGGTCTCCCCTCCAAGCCCCGTCCAACCTGCCCTTGGACACTTCCAGGGATGGGGCAGCCACAGCTTCTCTGGGTAACCTGTGCCAGGGCCTCGCCACCCTCTTCTCGCCGGTATCCCATCTAATCCCCGGGCAGTGGGAGCCCTTCCCGGTGTTCCCGATCCCTGTTCCCAACTCTCCCTTGGAGTCCCTTTGCTTCCCCCCTTTCTCCCTCCGCCAGGGGGCGCTCGCGCTCCCACCTCCCTCCTCCCGGGGCCGAGGCGTCCTCCGCGCTGCCTGACGAAAACGCGCGCGGTGTGGGCGCGGCGCGGGTGCAGGCGCGCCGAGGGCAGCCCGGCGGTGCAGGGCCCGGGTCCTTCGCTCGGCCCGGCCCCGCTCGGCCCGAGATGGCGGCGAAAAACTTCCGCGTGAGCGACGGGGACTGGATCTGTCCCGACAAGAAGTGAGGGAGCGGGGAACGGGAACGGGGAGCGGGAAGCGGGGAACGGGAACGGGAGCGGGGAGCGGGAACGGGGAGCGGGAACGGGGAACGGGAACGAGGAACGGGGAATGGGAGCGGGGACTGGATCTGTCCCGACAAGAAGTGAGGGAACGGAGAATGGGGAATGGGAACGGGGAATGGGGAATGGGAACGGGGAATGGGGAATGGGAACGGGGAATGGGAATGGGAACGGGGACTGGACCTGTCCCGACAAGAAGTGAGGGAACGGGGAATGGAGAATGGGAACGGGGACCGGATCTGTCCCGACAAAAAGTGAGGGAACGGGAATGTGAATGAGAATGGGAACGGGAACGGGGATGGGAGAGGGTAATGGGGACTGGCTCTGTACCGACAAGAAGTGAGGGGGACGGGGAACGGAAACAGGACCGGCAACCGGGACGGAAACGGGACCGACCGACCCACCGGGAATGGGGCAGAGGACGGGATCGGGGCAGGGGGAGCCGTCGGCTCGGGGGTGTCCCAGCCCCGGCCCAGTACGGACTGAGCAGTGTCGCGTTGGGCTCGGGACAAAGTGGGTTAAGTTGGACCCCATTCGGGTTCGGTCCCAGGGGTCCGAGCTCCCCGTGAGCCGTTCCCAGCGTTACTAATCCTCTCCCTCGTGGTCTGTCCCGTCCCAGGTGCGGGAACGTGAACTTCGCCAGGAGGACCAGCTGTAACAGATGCGGGAGGGGTGAGTGCCGGGACAGAGCCCTTCTCCCCCTGCACTGCTGCCCCCCAGAACAGCGCTACACCTGCCCCTTTAACCCTTTGTTCCCTTCCCTCCCCAGAGAAGACGACAGAGGCAAAGATGATGAAGGCGGGGGGGACGGAGATCGGGAAGACGCTGGCGGAGAAGAGCCGGGGGCTGTTCAGTGCCAACGACTGGCAGTGCAAAACGTACGGCCCAGAGCCAGGCACCAAATACCCCCGGGGGGCTGCGAGTCCTGGTGCTGCTGACAGCAGAGAGCAGACCCACGGCGGGGGGAGCTGTGGGGGTGCCTCTCGCTGGCTGCCCAGCACTGCAGTAACGTGGGAGCAAAAGGGTGTAAATGTCGGGACTGCACAGGTAACACGGCAAGTTTGACCTTGATAAGCTGAGGCACTTCCCAGGTTTGGAGGGAACGTGGAGATCGGAGTAACACCCCCATTGCAGGGCAAGGAGCTGCCTTCCCCATGAGAGTGGGGAGGCCCTGGTACACCAGAGAAGCTGTGGCTGCCCTGTCCCTGGAAGTGTCCAAGGCTGGGTTGGACAGGGCTTGGAGCAAACTGAGGTAGTGGAAGGTGTCACTGCCCATGGCAGGGGTTGGGTCTGGATGAGCTTTAATGTCCCCTCCAACCCAACCCAGTCTGCGATTCCCTGAAGTTCCCTAAATATCTGATGAGCAGAGTTTATCACACAGGTAAAGGCCTGGGTGTTTCTCTAAGTCATCAATAAAAAAAAATTAAGGTCTGTGTTAGAGAATGACAGTCAAACATTGTGGTTATTTGAAAGGTGCTTTCTGGGTGCTACAAGATGGAAATGCAGAGGTGGAAGCAGAGAACTGCAGCTATGCACTGGGCCATGACCATGGAGTGTGTCCAGAGAAGGGAACAGAGCTAGGGAAGGGTCTGGAGCACCAGGAGCAGCTGAGGGAGCTGGGGGGCATTCAGAGAAAAGGAGGCTCAGGGGGACCTTCTCGCTCTCTGCAACTCCCTGACAGGAGGGTGGAGCCAGGTGGGGGTCAGGCTCTGCTCCCAGAGAACAAGGGACAGGATGAGAGGAAATGGCTTCAAGCTGTGCCAGGGGAGGTTCAGGTTGGATATTGGGAAACTTTCTTCCTGGAAAGGGCTCTCCAGCCCTGGCACAGCTACCCAGGGCAGTGGAGTCCCCATCTCTGGAGGGATTTAAAAGCCATGTGGATGTGGCACTTGGGGACATGGGTCAGTGGTGGCCTTGGCAGTGCTGGGGAATGGTTGGACACAATGGGCTTGGAGGGATTTTCTAACCCGAACTGTTCTGTCATTCTATGACTGTTATTCCTATGGTAGCATTTTTGTTAACTCACCTGAAGTGTGGATGCATTAGTTAAGAAATAATGAGGAATATTAATGCTTTTTGTGTAGTCTTGCCTCTGTTCATGTGGCTGCCCTCCTGCCTGGTGATTGCACATCTTTCCCCTGGTTTGTCCAGTACAGTCACCTTCCAAAGTGTCTCATCACTTCACCTTTTTATTTCCAATCTGAAACAAAATGTTTCTTACTCCTGTTTTTGTGCTTTTTCCCCTGAAGGTGTGGCAATGTGAACTGGGCCAGGAGATCAGAGTGTAACATGTGCAACACCCCAAAGTACGCCAAGCTAGAGGAGAGGACAGGTGAGATCTGTGTGGCTTAAATCCTGAAATTACTGTCAGAAAATAGCTTTGTAAATCAGAACAGAAATTAAGTAATTCCACAGCTAGGTTCTTTGCCATGGTAAGTTTTATTCCAGTCCCAAAGGCCTGGGGTGTGTATGGTGTCCACGTGCAGAGGGCTGGGCTGTCCCAGGGCAGGTTTGAGGCTCTGCAGATAAGGCTGTTATCTCCCCAGGAGGGCTGGTCACACCAGGACTCAGTTACAGCTCCTTCTGCACGAACATGAGCCCAGAGGTAACGAACAGGATCTCCTTACAGCTCTCTGATGCTGTTCCTTCTGTATGTGGAATCAGGCAGGGGATTCAATGCACAGAGTGGAACACAAATGCATAGAAAAAAATAGAAGCCTGGAGAAGAGCACAAAGCATATTATTCAAAAGGAAAAACAATGTTTGAATATTCTTATTTATTTTTGTTAAAAGGGTAAATATTAAAAAATATAATTTAATCGTATTTCATATAATTATTGTGATGTGCAATTTATTAAAGTATTTATTAAATAATTTATTGAAGTGTTTAATACTTAATTAAGTTAATAAAATATTTCCAGTGGAAGTTGTCCCTGCCCAGGGCAGGGGGAAGGAATGAGAAGGGCTTTGGTCCCTCCCAGCCCAAACTAGTCTGGGATTCCCTGATACTTAGTATTTAATGAATTATTGGAGTTCTGCTGTCCTGCAGAGGACATTTGCAGACACATGCAGGACATCCAGCACGTTACACACTCTAGCAGTAAATTACAAAGTCAGCTGAAATGACAATGAGCCCTTGGAATTTTCCATTCCATTGTGAAAAGGAACAGGAAAGGAATAGAAATATTCTTAAGGCAAATTTTGGCAGCTGTACAACTCTGAGCAGCTACATATACATATATATACATATATATATATGTACACACACACCCCTTGTGTTCCCCTCACTGCTTTCCCAAGTTGGCTGCTTTGAGGTGGGATTTTGGTTTTTGAGGATGGTGCCCTTTATTCCCAGCCCTTGGAGACACTGCAGAGCCCTTTGGGAAGCTGGTTGCTCATCACAGTTGTTATCCTGAAATAGTTTTTATTCTTTTTCCATTCCTTTAAACGTTGTTACTGCTGTGCTGGTTGTGTGTCTTAACCCATTTTGTCAATTAGGTTTCCGAGGAACTGTATTTAATAAATGTGTGTGGGAACAATTCATGTTCCTCCTGAGATCCTATTACGTCCTTGTGGCATATTTATAATTCCATGAAGGCTTCAAGGGCCTCTGTGGAAGTTTATGGATTTGATGCAGCTGAATTTGGTGCAGCTCAAGAGATTGTCCTGTTTTATACCTTTTTAAAGGCTACGGAGGAGGATTTAATGAACGGGAGAATGTGGAATATATAGAACGGGAAGAATCCGATGGGGAGTATGATGAGGTAAGAGAAGGTGCAGGGATTACTCTGGAGAGACATGTGTTGTGCCAGATGTTCAGCATTGTTTTCTAAGGATATTCCATAAAATTAATATATAAAATGTTCAGATTTCCATTCATCTTCTCTGTGGATTCTAATTGTCCCCAAGACAAGCATCTCTCTTTCTAAAAAGTTTCTTGTTGCTAATTGATGTTTCATGATCCTCCCCTTTCCCTTTGTTCAAGATGTTATTTTAAATTTATGCATTTTTTTTCTCATCAAAGTTTTATCATAAAATGCAGTTGGTGATTATTTTTTTACTAAATCATATTCTTATGGCATTAAAATGTTATAGTTTGGACGCAAAAAGAAAAAGTACCGAGGGAAACCAGTGGGTCCTGCGTCCATCCTGAAGGAAGTGGAAGATAAGGAATCTGAAGGGGAGGATGAGGAGGATGAGGATGAAGATCTCTCCAAATATAAATTGGATGAGGTAGGATGGTTGTTTTTTAATTAATTACTTTTTAATCATTATTATAGTGGGGAAAGTCTGGTCTGTAGTTTTAGCTGCCTTTAGAGCATGTATAAATATAAAATAGGAATATATACATATAAAATATGCACATAGATATAGATACAGAAATAAAAGTATATATATAAATCTTTGGTTATGGATTTTGAGTCTGAAAACTCTTCCAGGCACTCACTTAAAGTGGTAAAAAGGTTTTTTCATTAACTTCATTAAATAACAAAAAACGTGATTTCATGTGAGGGTTTTGCAGGGTTTTTTTGCTTTGAAACACAAATTTTCAGTCCCTCCTTATGATTTGGCGATCTTATTAAATTCAATTTGATTTTCAGAGGTTGGAAAAAACACGAATAAACCATAGAATAAGTACAAACCAATAAGTGAAGGAAAAATAAAGCCATTCCTGAGGTGTTTCTTGTCTGTACCTTTCCCAGGATGAGGATGAGGACGATGCTGACCTGTCCAAGTACAACCTGGATGCCAGTGAGGAGGAGGACAACAACAAGAAGAAGAAGCCCGCCCGGCGCAGCCGCTCCAAGTCCCGCTCGTCCCACTCCCGCTCCTCCTCGCGCTCATCCTCTCACTCGAGCTCAAGGTCCAGGTCCAGGTAAACGGGTACAGGTCCAGGGTAACGCCAGGCAAAATGTCAGTATCTAACTTCCTTCTTTACTTGTTTTTCTTCATTGCCTTACAGTTGTAGTTAATGATGTGAATGATTCTGTGTATGGGATTTACAGAGGGGCGAAAATGCTCTCTCTGTCCTGTGGGGAGGCTTTGTGGGTCTTGGTGCTTGTTTTAGTGAATTTAAGTTGATGTTTGATGAAATCCTCCAAATAAGTTTAAAAATAGAACTTATTTTCAAGTTTTTCAGGCTTGTTGGCCGTGTGTGGTTCATTTGTTGAACAGAGGGTGGCACTGCTGGAGTGGGAGGAGGTGGCAGAAGAGGCAGTGACGGTGCAGTCCAGGCAGATTCAGTGAAAGGACAGAATTCCTGGGAATAAAGACAAGAAACTTGAACTTAGTTTGATGGCAAGTGACAAAGCTTGAAGTACAGTGGCAATGTCAGAACCTCCCCATCCTGGAATTGTTCCAGGCCAGGTTGGACAGGGCGTGGAGCACCCTGGTTCAATAGAAGGTGTCCTTGCCTATGGCAGGGAGTGGGATGGGATGAGCTCTGAGTTCCCTCCCAACCCAAACCAGTCCAGGATTCTCTGATAACACTGAAGGTTTATTGGAATCACACAAAGATCTGCTTCAGGCAGACTTAAGTTCTGTCATTACTCTTTCAATTCAGTAATAAATGAACAGTTTGATCAGTGCTCTGTAAACTTATGATGGAAATCATGGTGTAGCTTTTGAGCTGCCCTATAACTAATACAAGGAGAAATTGATAGGTTTAAGGCCTAAAATATGTACTAGCTCACAGGGTTATACATAAAATTCATATATATATATATATAAAAGTTCAAGTTTCTTCTAATCTTCCCAGTTTTTTAACTGCCCCTCTCTGCTCTCACTGCAAAAGTGAAGTAAAAAGTAGCTTGTCCTAAGATTTCAACTTCCTGTTGAATATTCTGCTTTTGGCTGCAGATAATGGAAATATCAGTGGCCATGTGTGGATACTTCTCTGTGATTTTAAAAGGGTTTTAATGTATTTTCTAGTTAGCATGTGTTCACACTGCTGGTGTCCTGCCCAGTAAAGTGAGAAAGTCATGGTAACAGTATAAACTGAGAGATTAACAACAAGTAGAATATGTTTTTGCTGCAAATGCTATTAGAATTTGATTGCAAAGCCTCCTTTTACAATGATTGCTGTGAGTCCTCTGCCATTGTTGCATATCTCTTGTGGTTTGTGCTTTAACAAAAATCCATCAGTGAAAGATTGGAACGTAGTTTTGGTCAGTTACAAGTCATGTTAGATCTGTCTGTGTTTTAACCCCAAATTAACTACTTAGTTTTTAATGCAGGGGAAAATCTTTATGTAAATTAGAAGCTGATTACAAAATGCTTGTGAGAGCTGATGGGGGGGAAAAATTGAGCTGGCCTTTCCTAATGCTCTTATCTGCTCTGCTTTTCAAAGAAACTGATGGTTTTCCAGTTAAAGCACAATTTAAGGCATTGACGTAATGAAATAATGAATAGATAAGCAGTTATTTCTTCTTTCCAAGTAACTGGGATCCTGTCTAATTGTTGTGCTTTGTTTTAGGAAACACAATCTAAAGCTGACTTTATAAATATTTAATGCATCATCTTACTATGTTAAGGTGTCTGGTTTAAAATGTGCTGTGGGTGGTATGGGGGGGCTGAAGGAAATTGTCACCTTAGTGACTCAAACTGTGTTGCTGCATCATATCTCTGCTCACAGAGCAGTTACTCTGCTAAATGCAAGTCAGACACTGGAAAAAAATCTTCCATGTTGTTGCAGGTCCCATTCAAGGAGTTCTTCCAGTTCCAGATCAAGATCTCGTTCCAGTTCCAGAGAACAGTCTAGATCTCGTGGGTCAAAATCCAGGTGAATGAGGTACCACTCTGTCCTTGCAGAGAGAAAAGGGCAGAAGGACCAACCTTGTTGAGTTCATCGTAAAGTTGTGCTGGTCAGAGAAACATTAACTTGTTTTTATCTTGGAAGTCAGAATCCCTGGGGTCTCTGCACGAGGCTGTTGCCACCACAGATGTGTTTGTGGAGAAGGCGAGGTTTTGGTGGAAGAGTTTAAGTCTAGCCTAAGCCAGCCGAGCGGATGCCACAGATCTGCAGTGTGGAGGAAGAAGGATTTGAGTGTCTGGTCCTGCTCCAGGCATTTTGGGTGCTTTTATTGTTTCCACTTTGGCTGCTTGGTGTGGAAGACAGTTAGAAATTGCACTGTACTTGTGGTGTTGTTTAGTTCTAATTCCATACCTTCCACAAGGCACTGCAGCTGTTATCCTTATAAACTTGGGGGATGTGTAAAAGGGTTGATGGCAAATGCTGTGAAGACCTGAGAGCAGTTAGAGCTGAGTTCTGTAGAGCTGTCACTGAGCTGTGCAGGGCAGAGTAACAACAGCACACTGGAGGTGTCCTTGCACATTGGCAGAACGTTCTCTGTGTGATGGATGAAGAGCTGTCCCTTTTCCATGCATGCAGAGAATCCTAAAACACTATAAATAAGGAAGCTTGAGTTGGGAAGAAGGATCACAAATGGTACCTCCACCCTTTGGTGGCAGGACCGTGCTGTGGATTGTCACATGAGGGCCAGCACAGGATGGAATCCATTCTTACGGGAAGAGGAAAAGGGTCCTTGTGCCCTGACTAGAGGCTGAAGGGGCTCCCCAGCTGAGCTGGATTGTTTGAGGTGCCACATGGTCATTTATAGAGTGTCCCCAGCACATTAGCTTGGCATTGTAGGCATTTTATGTCATTTTGAAAGGACAGTTCTGGACTCTTTAGCTCTTCTTTTCTCCACAAGTGTTTTTTTCTTGTTTTTTTCTTTTTTTAGAAAACCAAAGTGATTTTTGAGTGCAGTAAGTGAAGATGGTTCATTTTATTTTTTTTTATGTCAAAATTACTGTATTCTGAGAGATTTTTTTAAATATTTTGACTATATTTTAAAAGGCTTTTTACATTATTTTGGTGGAGGAAGATTTGAATCTCTACACAGATTTATTCTGAGATTTGTAAATATACTTTCTGATTTTTTTACTGCTTTAGTCAAATCTCCAGTGTGAAATATCCATTAAGATATGAAATTAAATGGGATTAAATGAGCTTTAGATCTCTGGAGGTTTCTTTTTGCTTTGTGAATTTAACTGCTGAGGAGGGTCCTCACAGAGGCAATTTCCTGGCCCAGCCTCCCAATGCTTTTTTGTCAAAATGGGTCATTTTGGTGAATGCTGAGAAAAGCTTTCCAAATCATTGGTGGCCCATTTATCAAGAAACACTCTTTAGCAAAATTTATTCAGAAAACCACCTGGCAGAAGAAGTTTTATTGGCAGAACTCAGGAGTAAGTATGGAAACCCCACCCACTTGCTTTACAGAGCACTGATGTAGAGTAGTGAATGTTCACGAAAACTGTCTCTGTCTGTTCTTTCTTTGTGCTTTCTCTGTGATACCAGAATTAAATCTGATTTATTTCTTAATCAATAAAGATCCAGCTCCAGGTCCTACAGGGGGTCTTCCACCCCAAGGAAAAGATCTTACTCAAGCTCTCGCTCCTCATCCTCCCCCGAGAGAGGCAAGAAGAGAAGCCGCTCTAGATCCTCTTCATCTGGTGATCGCAAAAAAAGACGATCGAGATCACGGTCACCCGAAAGGTTTGGGTTTATGTAGAATAAGAATGGGTGTATTGAAATGTGTGATTTTTTATTTTATTTATTCTGAAGGACTGAGATTCACTGGGAAGGAATTGAATCTGATCAGTTACTCTGATAGTAAAAGTAGTTTTCTCACTTCCCCTACTCTTACTTCCTGTTAAACCCTCTGTAATTGGTTTTTTTATTATTATTATTCCCCCTCCTCCAATGAAATTCCTCCTGGTAGGAGCATGTGCCATAGAAAGACTTGGCTCACCCTTCTTTCAGTGTGTGAAAGTGTTACTGTGTATATTATTGAATTATTTTCATAAGTAAATACTGCATTTAGAAATTGTATTCTACTCTCAGTATTAAACTTAGACTTCTAGTATTAAATTAGTGGCTTAAAGTTACTTGATAAGGCCCCTATCAGATATACTTGGCTTCCAGCTATTGTAGGATACAGACTGCTCAGAGTAGATGCCAAAATTCATTTCCACTTATTTCTTTGCATGCTTTCTCCATTTGTATCTTGCAGACGCCGCAGATCATCCTCCGGATCCTCCCATTCTGGTTCCCGTACAAGTTCTAAAAAGAAATAATGTATTAAAGCTCACATTTACAAAAAAACCCACCAAAATTCCAGTCAGTGCATGAGACATTTTTAAGAAGTTGGTGTCTTACTTGGTCAGAAGTGCTAAATCTGCTAGTAGAGGTGCATGTCTGTCCTTGCTTTCTGGCAAACTGCAGCTTTGTTCATCCATGACCCAAAATGTGAGGTAGCATTTTAAGCCATAAACTTCCCCGGCGGAGGCGGGAGGTTCTGTGGTGTGAGTGGGGGGAGGTTATTATTTTTAAAGATCAGTTCCTCCATTTCTGGCTCCCTCAGATGTAGGAGCAGGTTGGGAATGTCCTGGTCCCGCTCTGCTCCTGGACTAAAGCCGTGTGAGGAGGACACCCTGAGCTTTGTGCAGCCGCCTCCGGAGCGTGTGATGGAGCTCCCATGGGACCACAGCATAGGGTAGGGCTGGAGTCACCTGGGGTCAGTATGAGGGCTTAGGGCTAAGATTTGTTCTTGTTCCATGTTAAAGTACCAGTGTAGATGGACACCCCTCTCTAGCAATGCTCAGTGCAAAGCAGCTCTTAGACCCCCCCAGTCCATCATGATTCCATAGAGGGAATTAGCCTTCATTCCTGGGAAGCGAGGATGTTGGAGATAGATGTTTTTTTGCTGCAGCCAGCAAAGGGCCTGTTGGCTGTGGTGGTTTCCTGACCCTGGACTCCATGATCCTTTTACAAACGGATCATTTAGGATCTGCTCCTGCCATGGAGGAGTTTGGAACTAGCTCCTTGGAATCAAGGGAAGCTTCCGCAGGCCGCCTGTAAAATTCCCTTTGGGGCTGACTAAAATTTTCAAGGTATCTCAATTTTATTTTTCTTTCAAAAAATGAGAATGAATAAACTGTGTAGAAAGTTCTGGCATCTTAAATGTGTTCTTCATCAATCATTCTTTTTTCCTGCAACATAATTTATGGCTTAAAATGCTTTGTGGAATCCATTTTAGTATAAAACTTGCTCTCTCTTGGGCTCCGTTTGGTTAAGAAAGGTTTAAGTCTTCAGTGCCATCACAAGGTAAGTATGGTGAGGAAAATTCTTATAAAGCAAACAAAGAGCTATATATCTGCATTTATTTCAGTAGTAAAACTTCCAAACCCAGATTTACTGCTTTTTTCAGTAAACTCCACAGAAACAAACGGAGCAACATTTAAAAACTCCATTCTGCTCCTTTTTTTCCTTTTTTTTTTTGGAGACATGTTTTTGGACTGGTGTAGAAGCAAAATGTTTTTGGTGTAGAAGTATTTTGATAATCTTTTTGCAGAAAAAAAATGCAGTTTCTTTAATGCTTTCTTTTCTCTCTAATTTTGATGCTAAATGTGCGTAGGTTGCACAAGAGCAGATTAGTCTGTAACTGTGCCTCTGACTTCAACGTCCAACTACTAAAGTGTACAACCCAGATCAAGTAGACGCTCTGTTGTTAGCATTGGGGTTTTCTTGTGCTTTGTATTCCAATTGTTGCTGTACTTAACAGATGAGGGGTTTTAAAGTTAGCAACTCATAGGCCACAGGCAAAGGAGAACAATGGGTTCACTTGGGTTAGAGAATGTGTAAGGCAAAATGATGCTGTAGACAAGTGTAAATAAAACCTGTGAGTCAACTGTGCGGCGAGTGCTTTGTCTTGGAGACACACACACACTGCTTGTCACCTGCACTGGCAGGGACTCCATGGCTGGAGTCCCACTTAGCTGGCCAATGGATTGCATGTTTTCAGATCGGTTCGGTTCTTTTAAGTACTGAAAATACCTTTGGATTTCAACAGCAGCGTGTTCAAACTGAGATTTTACAAAGCTTCAAGGTGTTTCCGTAGAAACATGGAATATCTTGAGTTGGGAGGGACCCACAAGGATCATCCAGTCCAACTTCTGGCCCTGCTTCAGACACCCTAGCAATCCTACCCTGTCCCTGAGAGCGTTGTCCGAACACTCCTTGTGCTCTGGTAGCCTTGGTGCTGTGACCACTGCTCTGGGGAGCCTGTTCAGTGTCTGACCCCCTGCTGGGGGAAGAACCTTTTCCTGATATCCAGCCTAAATGGATAAAATGCCAGAGTAAGGTTCAGTCTGTCCCTTGCCTGTAAGAATCCTCCAAGTCACTGCTACCCCATCCCTGAAAGTGTTCAAGGCCAAGTTGGATGGGGCTTGGAGCAACCTGGCCTAGTGGAAGGTGTCCCTGCCCATGGCAGGGAGCAGAACAGGCTGTGTGTTAAGGTCCTTCCCAACCCTAACCAGTCTGGGATTCTTGGATACCTGGTGTCTTTCGTTCAGGTATCAGTAAAGCCTTCTTAAAAAGTAAATGTTGAAAATCCAAGCACTGTTTGATGGACTCCGGCATTGCCTGGACTCTCTGGGCTGTCAGGGGAGGGGATGGAAGTCCCATTCTCCCTAAGCGTCTTGCTTCAGCTTCCCCACTATCCAACCTGAACTTCCCCTGGCACAGGTCGAGGCCGTTTCCCCTTGTCCTAGTCCCTTGTTCCCTGGGAGCAGAGCCTGACCCACAACTGGCTGCACCCTCCTGTCAGGGAGTTGCAGAGAAGAGAGAAGGTCTCCCCGAGCCTCCTTCTCTCCAGGCTGAGCCTTTCCAGCTTCCTCAGCAGCTCCTGGTGCTCCAGACCGTTCCCTAGCTCTGTTCCCTTCTCTGGACACGCTCCAGCCCGTCAGTGAGCGGTTTGTGGTGTGACTCCTTCCCGCCCGGGGCTGAGACGGCTCGCTCGGAGGGGCGGGTCGGGACCGAGCGGAGCCGCCTCAGGGCGGGTCGAGCCGCCTCCGCTTATATCGTGTCCGCCCGCTTTTCTCCCCGGCTCCCTGCCAGGCTCTATGCCCGGTGCTTCGGCTCCTCGGCGCCGGGATGAGCCCCTGGCAGCAGTGCGAGCCCGTTCCCAACGCCACCGAGCCCGGCGCCGTGGGGCAGCGAGGCAGCGGGATGGGGCGGGCGGCTGAGGGCTGCGGCACCGTGTCCGTGGCCATCCCGCTGACCATGATGATCACGGGCATGGTGGGCAATGCCCTGGCCATGCTGCTCGTGTCCCGCAGCTACCGCGCCAAGGGCAGCCGCAGGAAGAGATCGTTCCTGCTGTGCATCGGCTCCCTGGCGCTTACCGACATGCTGGGCCAGCTGCTCACCAGCCCCATCGTCATCTCCGTCTACCTGGCCAACCGCACCTGGGAGGCCGTGGACCCCTCGGGGCACCTTTGCGTCTTCTTCGGCTTCAGCATGACGGTGTTCGGGCTCTGCCCGCTGCTCATCGCCAGCGCCATGGCCGTGGAGCGGGCACTGGCCATCCGGGCGCCGCACTGGTACGCCAGCCACATGAACCCGCGGCTCACCAAGGGCGGCCTGCTCGCCATCTGGGCTGCTGTGGTTGCCTTTGCCCTGCTGCCCGTGGCCGGGCTCGGACAGTACACGCTGCAGTGGCCCGGCACATGGTGCTTCATCAGCACCGGCGATGGCCGCCCCGGGGGCAGCACCGTCTTCGCCGCCACCTTTGCCGTGCTGGGGCTGCTGTCCCTCGTGGTGACCGTGGCCTGTAACCTGGCCACCATCGAGGCACTGGTGTCCCGCTGCCGCACCAAGGCCACCGAGGCGCACTCCAGCAAGCAGTGGGGACGGATCACCATGGAGACGCTGATCCAGCTCCTTGGCATCATGTGTGTCCTCTCGGCCTGCTGGTCACCGCTGCTGGTAGGTCCCTGTGCCACTGCCGTGTGGTGACCCCAGTCCTCCTCCCTCCTTCCTTTGGGAAGGGCAATGCATGGCCGCCAGCTTGGGCAGGGTGGGAGGCACTTGGAATTCCTGTTCCTTGTGGACAGTGTGTCCATGAACAGCCTCTTGGAAGGAAAGCAGGGACAGGGACAGAGCCCAGGGGGTATTGCGGTGGGAAGCTAGTAGGAGAGAAGCTGGGAGGGGTCCAAGAGGACAGCAAAAATGCAGCCTGTTGGGAAAAAAAAGATGAAGGAACTAGAGTCAAAAGAAGGAAAACGAGGGTCTTGTACAGAGGAGGCAAGCAGGACGTGAGGAGTGGACCGGGGAGCAGGATACTGCAGTTGGCTGTCATGTAGGATTTTTTATTTCCTTCCACCTTGTAGCAAAACTTAGTGTTTTATAAGAAAATGTGCCCTCAGCTCTGCAAGCACTTTTGGGCTTGCAGCCATCTGTTCCCTGTGCCTGATTTACAGCAGCCTCCTTGGCTTTTCATCTCTGTTTTTTAAGGACCTTTGCATTTCTTTCCACTGCTTTGTTATTCCTTACTTATGAACCCCTGCTGATAATGTAGGAGGGGAGGAGGCAGAATCCACGTTTCTCTGCCATGCAGAACAAGGGCACACCCGGGGGTCCAGAACCCATCCCCAAAGGCTGGTTTACTCTGCTGTCAGAGAATAGAAAGTTTGTACTTGGTATCTCTGAGCGGGACCAGGATGAAACTGGCTGTGGAATCGCTGAGGTTACGTGAAAGGTTCTTTATGGCTGGAGAAGGATTTTTCTTCCTTCTTGTCCTTGAGCCCTCGTGAGCAGGGCTGTGACAAGAGGAATGGCTGACAAAGCTGACGGCCGGTGGTGATAAGGTGACAAGAGAAAACAATTCAATTTAGTAATTTTATCCTTGTAAATGAATTAAAATTCCATCAAATCCTCAAAATAACACCGCCCCAAAATTAGTCAGGAGTTTAAGTTAACTTTCTAGAGATCATTAACAGTGACGGAAGTAAAACATGAAACCACCCTGAAGGTTAGTGAGAACTTGGAAGCAGAGGATAATGTTCTGTTCCTCAAACCCCATGGAATGGCAGATTTGGTCAATGAAGGCAGGAGCCTGTCTCTGGCTCTGTGTCCATGAGGTGGTTATCTGCAGTCCTGCACACCCTGACCTCCCTGGGGTCCATCTTGCTGGTGTTTCGTCCCGAGGGAGACACTGGGATTTCTTCATTTTCCAGAAGTGTTGCCCTGATGGAAGAAGCCTGTTTCCCCCTCAACCCTTGCTTTTGGGACAGGTCCTGCCCTGCCCTCTGAGGCAGTGGGACCCATCCTGCGCCCTCAGCCAGCCCGGGGCACGGAGCTGTTGCTCCTGAGGGTTTAACCAGCCTTGCAGCATCAAGAGAAGGTCCGAGATGAAGGAACTCTTTCTCCTCCTTCATAAGCAGAGTTCTCAGATAAATCAGCGAGGAGGCAGGGATTCCTCTTGGTGGTTTGGTTCCCAGGGCATTTCTGTGGGTTTAACAGCAGAAGTCAACCCAGAACCCTGAGGGAATTCGTCAGCAGTTCCCTTCCCTCCGGGGAAGCAACACTTGGAAGCGCGAAACTTGTTCTGTGGAGTTCTGCAAACTTCTCTGCCTGGTCAGTGTGTTCTCAGGTGTTCATATTCTCAATATCCAGAGTCATGAGTGCAGGAGCATGTTTGTACATACACCTCCATGTTTGTACATACTCCTCCATTTTTATACATACACCTCGACTGTTCTGTACAATCAGAGAGTAAGAGTTAGGAATTAGATGCCACATTTTTGGAGAACTGACCATGGAGAATACAAGTGCATTTTCAGTGAAAGCCAGATTATAGAAATCATTTACCATGTAGCTGCATCACTCAGCAGTTGTAAGAAATTGAGTTGAAATAGAAAACCAGGGATTTACAGAGTTCTCTGTGATTTTTTTTTTTTTAAGACATCTGAGTTTTGTAACTGAGAACTAACAGATTCTGACAGCTGTTGCTGTTAGGAAAACAATGCCCTTATACACAGACAGTATTTTTAGACTTGATCTGTTGGTGTAAACAACAAACTCAAATGTGATTTAGCTGCAGAGTGAAAATTATGGCAGTCGTGGCTGTGCTCTGAAGGGCTCCATGGAGCCCATTCTGGCTCTGTGCTGGCTTGGGCAGAAGGGAGGAGACAGACAGTGCAGGCATTGCCTCCTTTTTCTGTGCACTCACACGAGCTGGGTGAATTCAGCATCGAGAACCTGGAAAAACACCCCACTCGACTAAGATCTTGCTTTTATCCTAAATGGTTTCCAGTTCACACTGATCTTCTGCTTATTTTGGAGCATGTACTGTCAGGACAAGGGAATAGCTTCCCACTGCCAAAGGGCAGGGTTAGATGGGATATTGGGAAGAAATCCTTCCCTGTGAGGTTGGTGAGGTCCTGGCACAGGTTGCCCAGAGAAGCTGTGGCTGCCCCATCCCTGGAAGTGTCCAAGGCCAGGTTGGACGGGGCTTGGAGCATCCTGGGATAGCAGAAGGTGTCCCTGCCCATGGTAGGGGGTAGAACAAGAGGAGCTTTGCGGTGCCTCCCAACCCATCCCGGTCTGGGATTCTGGGATAACTGCTGAGCTGGATTGGCAGCAGGCAAATAACTCTTAAGGGGAAGCAGAGGAAGCTGTTCCATGATTACACAGAAACGCCTGTGCAGCACAAACTGCAATTCTCATAACTCTTTTGGAGCTCCAGGCTACAAAATTGTTCACTCCCAGAATTGTTTCAAGGTCATTTAAAGCCAAAATGCTCAGGAATTCTGCTGCATTTCCTGTCAAAATACTTCTACTCCTTAAGCTTCCTGGCAGACAGAAATTAAAGACATATAAAACCACAGTCATGGTAACAGTAAAGTT